GTTAAGAAATAGGTTTAGAAGTATGACTCTTTATCATGCACTGGTACACTGTGTGGAGTTCCATACTGGATCTCTTGCAGGATCAATGTATCCTTTTTGTTCAAACTCACTGCTCTCAGTGACTGAGACTGAGCAAGGTACTGTGCTTCTGAACTTACCAGAAACTCTCCTTTAACTTCCTTTATAGGCAAGCATCTCACTGACCTTTGGCTTTATACCTTGGAGTTTCAAGATTCTTTAAGTATTCCCGAGGTAAGAGAAACTTGAGAGAGAGAAAGAGCTTTGCCTTCCCCAAGCCATTTTCCTACGTCTTCCTTATTGAGACCACCACAGTTTGCCCGTAACTGAGATAAGATCATCTTTTAGCTGATTCTGAAACTGCAATAGCTGTAGCTTTTTTTGGATCTTGTTGACTAGAGAAAAATAAATATTTCTTAGGGAAGTGTGAAAAGTTTCTATTCTGCAGCTTGTCAGGAAGAAAGGCTATTATTATTTCTTTAAAGATACTGTGATAGCTTTTCATTCTTGGTTTACTTTTAACAACAGACTGTTTTGCAGCAGACTCCATGTTTTGTGAGACCTGACCCCCTGAAGCTGTTTGTAGGGTGGCTCAAGGAGTCTGTGCCTTTGAGCAGATTCAAACACCAGAGTGTCTTGTTCAGCTTCCATGGTGGAATCTATTAAAGGTACTGTTCACTGGAACAAACCAGAAGTCTGAATAAACAATTCTGATTTTAACTGACTCTGTTTAGAGACTGGGTTGGCTGGTTTGTTTTGTCAGTTCTTGTGCTCTTTCTATCTCTCTGTTTCTCTTCTTTGAACTTGTCTCCTATTTTACTGGCACTTAAAAGCCAGTTTCTTTGGCTCAGTTTTTATGTTATACATTGGGGTTTTTTCAGGCTCTCTTCATGGTGGTGCTCAGAAACAGTCATGTAGACTCTTCTAGCAGATGCGTAGATTTTTTTAATGGCCTGTGTAAAATAAGGAAGCCCTGTAATACACTAGAGTATAGTATTTAAGGTTGCTTCTCAAAACCAATTGGCTTTTTGGTAAATAGTGCAGGGAAAGACTAATGAATGAACTGCCATGTCATTTTACTTCTGGGAGAAGTAAAGTGTCTATAAGCAGACCCTCGAATTCTTAAAGAACATTTGATTTCTAGGCTTTCTTGGCATATTGGCTTCTTCAGTGTCTCAAATCAGAAGGTACCTTTTTAAAGTATCTATGGAGATACACCTGTGAAAATACTGAAGCTTTCACGAGGAGTCTGGGTTGTAGTATTCTGGATTGGCTCATAAACTTTATATGCTCTCAGTGCAGGTTACATGTGCTGTTGAGCTGTGAACAGCTCACTAACTCCGGCTCAGGGTGCAAAGTGGCATTCTGTTTCATTGATTTGGGAACCCTTGAAATGAAATGCTGTACATCATGATGTTGGTTTCCAGCATCTTTCCATGTACTTGTGGATGCTTCTTGCTTGTTTGGATTCCTGTTTATATTTTCTCATCTCTGTCTTGTCACCATGAAAAAAATAGGACGATGTTTTGACAGAGGTACTGCAGGAGGTCCGTGCTATTAATTTTTGAACCCTTGGGTGCCAAGAGTCTCGTTCTTTGAAGAACCCAGTTCCTATTTCATGTTTCAAATGCCTGGCGTACAGTCTTAACGTTCATCTGACCTTTTAATGTTTTGGGGTTTTTACAATCTCTTTACCCCCTCCCTATCTCCAGCCTTCTTTTTGGACTTTTCAAGACTTGGGCATACCCTAACTATTCTACATCCCAGGAATGATGGACATGAGTTTCTGCTAGGTGTTTAAAGGAGTTCCACCAACAGTGTGGAATACCAGAGACAATAACCTGTAGAAATACCTGCTGAATGTCATCCATGGAGGTATGCGGGTGGCTTTTAAAGGGTTCAGGCCAGGTTCTGAGCTGCCTAAGGTAGCTAGTCAGGTAGACATCTAGTCAGCCTCCGAGAGGGGTGTTTTGAAAGACCTGAAATATGAGCATCACTTTGGGGCTACAAGATGTGCTTCTAGTTGCTGGAAAATGTAGGGTGTTCATTATTTTTCTGTAGGTCTTAAGAGCCACTGTTTAAGCTTAGCATCTGCTCTGCTGTTTGTTTTTTCTTTTTTTTTTTTTTTTTTTTGTCTTGCTGGTGGTTGAGTTGGGATACTGCTTTCTTTAGCTAGCCTAGACCAAGTTGCTTCTTGATGATAAACAAGTATAATAGTGTCTATCAGCACATGCATTGCCTGTCTCAGGTGCTAATGCAATCATGAATGTGATGGTTTTTCCACCTATCTTTGCTGCTGCAGGTCACTTAGCTAAAAAAAAATGGTGCATTTCAACATATAACATAAAATGAAAGGGAGAGGGCAATCATTCATTTAGGCCAGCAAGAATAGACATAGCTGAAGACCAATTTACCAATTTTAGCTGTAAATCCTGTGGCTTTTCCTTACATAACATTTGCAGATAAAGATGTAAACAAAATGTTGGATCTGTCATGTTTGTGCATACCGGTGTGCTTTGTACTTCTCATGATGGATATACAGTAAGTAACAGAAAACTATTTCTGACTGAAACTAAAAATGAGAGCAAGTCCTATTCTGAAACTAGTCAGGTTCAGTTCAGACTATGTCATTTTAAATTCCCTTAATGTCTGAGGAAGCTCTGTGCGTTACAACTGTCAAATCTGGGAGAAGTCTTTCTGGTTTGGGAGATACTCTTCTTCTATCTAATTGGCAAGTTGAGGGAGACTTTGCTGTGCTACAAAAGAAAAATAATAACTATCATGTCGTCTGTAGGTTGAAGGGAGTTTTATTCCACGATGAGGTCTCAGCATCTTGTTAGGCAGTTAGATTTTTGGGGAGATGCGATAAGTATATTCTTTAATAAAGAACTAGATTTGAAACTTGTTGGCATGGTAGGTACTACAGTTCTAAGTGGGTATCTATTTCTTGACTGACTCCTGCTATCTTGTTAGATGTTATCCCAGCCAGAAGAAAACTTATCTAATGTTTTCTCAGAACTACTTACTTTATCTTCTCTGAAAGCTCACAGGTTTATGCTGATCATTTTTTGCCGTATTCAAAAAGCTCTAAAAGATTGTCGAGTCATTATATTACAAGGAAGTTTTTCAGATGGAGAATGCAGAGATGATGTGTAAAAGCAGTAGCATGGAAGGCTGAGAACCTGCACTGCTGCTGGAAGTGATACTGCTGTTAGGAGGTCTTTCTTTATTGTATCAGAAGCATAAATGCAGCATTTTACTTCTGATGAAGGAGATTGAATCCTCATCATTATTAGTTATTTCTGATTAAACTCTTACTATCTTACAAGGTGAAATAAAGTTGGGATGTGCAGCACTTAAGGTATTTTGTTTCCTTCATACAAGTTGCATAGAAGCAGCAAATCTTATTTTGGTCATCTGAAAAGAAGTTACAACATTCAGCATTCTAAGATGAGGATAAGCCAAATGATAGGGTAATTTAAAAACCAGGGTATCAGTGAGGGAGTTGATGAGACTTCCTTCCACCAACTTGAAGAATTTATTTCCCCTTGTTTACTTTTGTCATCAAATACAGACTTCATTTGATAAGTAAGAGGAAATAAAATCAGCATGATAACACATTTCAAGCAATGAGTAATGGGACCTCGTCTTACGAATTCAATTAAAATCTGTTAGCTTGTTTAACACTTTTGTCATATGCTGTGTAAGCAAAAGGTATGAGTTGTAAAAGGAGCTGCAGAAAACTGTTTTTCATGAACAAAAAATTGTTATCTTTGTGTAGAATCCCCCAGGGTACACACAACACCCCACTTCCACCCCTAAGTGGACCGTGTATGGGTATGTGCTCAGTGAAAGGCAATGATTAGAGATTCGACATAATCTGTAAATTCTGCTTTCTCTTGATGGCTTTGCAACTCAAAAACAGAGCTCCTGCTTCTTGCAGTCATACAAGTTTTATCTGTAACCAGGTTTTTCCTGATAAGGATTGAAGAATAGTTTTTCTTAAATTTCAAGCTTTGGGAAAAAGGCAGAATTCTCTGCTAATGTCAGGGCTTTGTTTTCATACTTTATCTCCCTGTGATTTTCATCTACTTGTTTCCTGTAGCCAGTATTTTGGGGAAAAATTCTTATGATCACACTAGCTTGTGGGACTTCAGTCTTCCACAGATGTTGTATATATGCTGTGTATTAGTATTTACAGGATGCTTGTTGTGTAGTCATTAAAAGGTGTGTTTTACATGAATGCAAATGTTAAGTTTGCAATCTACATAAACCCGTGTAGTGGATTTGTCAATATACTAAGACTTCGGGTTGGACAAATGTTGATGTGAAATCACGCTTCAAGATAGTTGCACGTTTTTTCTGTTTTGAGATTTGTTAGTCTTTTCTGTTGCACTAATTGTTTGTTCCCTATTTTAAAAATTCTGTGCAGTATGTGAGGCTGTAGAGGGCTTAAATTTAAAATCACATACACGCACCCCCAGCCCTGCTACAAACACCAGAACTGTACATAGATCCCTAGATATCAGTGTTAACTAGGAAACTGAACAGCATCAGGTTTATTTGCTGGATTTTTTTGCATGTGCACTTTCAGTGATAGCAAATTTATTAGAAAAGCAATGACAGTAACACTTCTATTATACTAGCTCTTTAGCAGCTTTGTTCCAAATGATAGGTGTTGAAAACAATGAAATACTATTCTGTGTTGGTTAATCTTAGCAGAAATTTGTTTTATAAATAAATTGTGCTTCTTGGCAGAATGGAGGGTTTTAACATTTCAAGTAGTACACTTGGCTTTACCTTACCTCTACCATCACCTCAGGAAATGCGGGCCTGTGATTTGAGTATGTAATGGTCAGTTTCTTTATGCTAGGAGTTCAATATTTATATGGTTAGCAAAAGATCTCTGTGCTGCAAGTAACTGTGAGGAAGAGCGGAGAATGAATAACCGTGGACTGGAATAGCTTTATTCTTTATTTCAGATTTCGACCTATTAAAGGAAGGCAAGAAGAACTAAAAGAGGTGATTGAACGTTTTAAGAAAGATGAGCACTTAGAAAAAGCCTTCAAGTCCTTGACGTCAGGTGACTGGGCCCGGCACTATTTTCTTAACAAGAACAAAATGCAGGAAAGGTTGTTCAAGGAACATGTAGGTGTATTTGTAATTAATGTGCTTTTTCAGATGGTTGAAAGGCTAAGAAAATGTAAACATTTCTTAGGAATGTAGCAGTAGTAAAGTAATCCACTGCTCTTATCTGTTTGATTGCTTTTTAACAGAAATTTCCTTTGTTTTTTAAAACCCAGCTAGCTCCCCACCCTCTTTTTTTGAGTTGACTTACCATTGCCTTTTATTTAATAGACATGTAGAAAGGACAATACATTTGCCTCTTTTGCTGTTGGCTTAAGTCATCAGCAGAAGAGAGAATTACTTCCTGGAGACAAGAATTTCAAGGACTTCCTTCATTCTTTGACAGGGTTTTGTGGGTTTTTGTGTCTTGGTTGTTGGTTTGGTGGTTTTTTTTTTTTTTTTTTTTTAACTCTTTTGTTTGTTTTGTGTTGGTTGGTTGTATCTTTGGGGGGGGAGGGGGGTGTTGTGTTTTTTTACTTACAGCTATTATAAATCAAAATGTGTGACAAAGAACAGTAAAGACAATGGAAAAGCCTTGCTACCTCAAAATACCTCAAAAGTTTTTGGTATAGGGGCTTTATGTGGGAGTGTTATTCTTCTTCCTCCACTTTCCACACCCCGGATCCATTTTGTATGTAGCATAAAGGTTGTTGACTCTCAAAGTTGCAAGGAAATCATAGTATTTTTTTACTTAAAAAAAAAAAAAAATCAGAAAACCCCCAAAAACCAAAAGCAGCCTTCATGAATGAGTGCATTGTTTTCAGATACAACTAAAAGGAATTTAGCCTACTTCAAAGTGCATCAAATCTACTAGTATAGAAAAAAGGTAGGCAGCAAATTCTGCTTTCCCAAAGTGTTTTTTGAGTAATACAGCAGCACTTTAACTAAAACGAATCGATGCAGCCATCTCTAAGTTCAGTATCTGGATTTGTCATGGAAGTGATATCTTTTTCAGAGATGGAAAGAATACAGTTGGATCCCATAGATTGTTAAGTCTCAGGTGTTCTTAAAGATCTGAGAAGAATTCTTGAATGCAACTACTCAGTGACTTCAAGAAGTAGTTATCCATTTTCATTGGTTGGGCCAATTTTGTACCGTTCAAGGAATCTTTAAATTTTTTAAACTCTTTGTATAGTCACATTACCAATGTGAGGATTCCTGCAAATCACTCTGAAGAAGTAAGATTAACATAGTGTGTATAGTTAAAATTTATAATCAGAAATGCATTTCAGCAAACAATTGCAATATCCAGTTTCTGTGTGTTTTTTTTTTGTGCAGTTCACTGACTTTCGTTATTTTTATATAAAGTTCCTCACTGCTTTTATTTTGCTTGTAACAAAGGACTGTTTTCTTTCATCGCAGGTATTTATTTATTTACGAATGTTTGCAACTGACAGTGGGTTTGAGATACTGCCTTGTAATCGGTATTCTTCTGAGCAAAATGGAGCCAAAATTGTTGCAACAAAAGAATGGTAAATATAGTTTAGTGTTGCATTCTAATTCTGTCAATTATTTTGAAATATCCTAAAAAAATATGTTTAAACAGGTATGATTTTGAATTAAAACTGTAACGAGTAAAGTACCAAATTTTGTATTTTTACTTAGAAATTAAATCTGGTGTTTGTTTTTGCTAAGTACTTAACACATAATACGTGCAACTGTAAGACGTTCTTTTGTATATTTGGATGTAGCCACACAGTCTTCAGTACACAGTTTTTTTTTTTTTTAAATCTTGTTTTCAGCCAGATAATTATTTTCCCCTGATGATGACTTGTTGGCCTCCTGTGAGAAACATGACCATGTCAAGACTCACATTATGCTGCATTTGTTATACAACAAATAATTGGGGGGGGGGGGGAACTAGTTTTTTCACCTTTGTGAAACTGAGGGATGTTATTTGCATATTTTGACTGTGCAAGATAAATCTCTCTTGGAAATACAGAGCTGGAACCCCTGTGTATTTCCCCATTTCATTTTGGCACACTTGAGTTTCATTATAAGCACGTCCGTGGCAGCAGCAGCAGATCCCTAGGTTAATTCAGACACTAAAATAAATTTTCCCCTTCCTTCCCCCTCCCCCCATAATCTGTCTTACTTTGCTCTGTGGCAATCCATGCTCATAACAGCACATCTTAGATGAGGATATGCTCCTGTGCGCGGGCTAGGATTGTGTGGCTAATCATTATGCTGGCAGCATACCAGGTAAATGTGCTGTTACTGTGGGGCTACGGCCTCCACGTGTGGGACAATGAGCTTTAAGAAGGTTGAGTCCAGTTTCGAGCTCCTCGTGACCGTAGCTGGAAGTTCCACTGCCGCAATATAATCAGTATTTTTGGGGTTGGTTTCTCCCCTTTGCTGATTCATTGAGGTGGATGCTCTGTGCTTAGGTGTGTTGAAAATGAATTAACTTCTTATGCTCAAAATCTTGAGCGACCTATGAGGCAGGAGGGCTGCTCCTAACCTGGCCAGTGTCTGGAATACTAAGGATGCTCAAAACTGATGGAGTTCTCAGCGCTCTCTACAAAAGGAGAATTTTACACTTGGCTTCTAGTTTGTGTCCTTCACATATATTCAGTATCTCCATAATCATCTGTGTCAGAGTAATCTGGCCAAAATTTGGAATGGCCACACTAAATAGCAGGGGAAACAATGCCCTTGCAAGATAATGGAAATTGCGTGCCGCTGCCTAGGCTGAGTATTCAGTGCCTCTCATCTGCTACATTTCTGAGGGCAGATTGGCTGTCTACGCGTGAAGGCATCGTGGGTTTGTTGATCTGTCCTGGCACCCCCACCATGAAAATGGTCTATTTCAAGGATCAGCTTGATGCTGAAGAACTACTCATGAGAGAGGAAAATATCCTGTGTGTATTCTGGCCTTTTTTTGAGCTAATACCGGGCCTTTTTTAAGAAGCCATGGAGTTCTAAGCACCTTTACTATGCTGTGTTTTCATGGCCAAAGGAAAAAGTGTAGGAAATGCAAACGAGAGCAGCTGGAGGAAGTCAAAATATCTTAAGTGCTGATGGGGAGGGAATGTGCACAAATTAAAAAAATCTTGCTTTTGGTTTTTAACAACTGTAGAAGCTGAAGTAATCAACTCTTGCAAGTTCTTGCTTGCAGTCTCAGGAAATTGTAGAAACGATGATGGTAGTGCCTGCCAGAATTGATGTAATTGATTCTATATAGTAGCATAGGAACGTTTATTTAATGTCTGATAAAAAGTCTATTTAGCCTAATATCCGGTCTCTAACTGAATTAAAACATGAAGTTTATTGGGGTTGAGTAATGGTTTACAAAATGCTTCCTGTTACTGACAACTTTTCATGAAGTTACTTCGCAATTTTGGCATATGTATTCTTATTTCTACTACTCCTTTTACACTAAAGGAAACGAAATGATAAAATAGAATTACTTGTGGGCTGTATTGCTGAACTGTCAGAAATGGAAGAAAACATGCTGCTGAGACATGGGGAAAATGACTTCAGTGTCATGTATTCCACACGGAAGAACTGTGCACAGCTGTGGCTTGGTCCTGCTGCATTTATCAATCATGGTGAGTAGTAACTACAGGAAGCATGTTGAAGGACATAGCAATTCTGCTCAGAAGTGCTGTTGTACGTGAGCTGAACAACACAGGCCATTAGAGAAAATGTCTGTATCTGGCATACTGGGTTACTGTAGGACAAAATCCTGTTGGGATTTTCTCAGACCAGGGCTGATTGGCTGTGAAGTGGGAAACTCCCAGAAGGCTCTAGGAAGTGAAACCTTCTTCCTTCACAGAGACTTTGGAACTGTCAGCTAAATTAGTGGAGCATATTGTGGGTTACCTTGAATTCTTTGTGAATTTAATCAACAGCAACGTATTCCTTAGGTGAGCTTCTTTATACCTTCTTTAATCTTTTGCACAGAAGCTTAACCGATTCTGTTGCATTTGTATGCTGAAGGAAAAGCAGGTAGGATTTAAGGTAAAACTCTTAAAGAAGAGGGAAACTGAACATTTGTGATAGCATAGGGAAGAGCTCAGAAACCAAACCATATCAAAATAGGTATCTTCTGATGTATAGCTTTGCCCAGTACTAACGTAACTCCCAGTATTTAGTTGAGATTCTACAGTTATTGAAGTCAGAGTGAATCCTTACTTTAGATATCTACAACTATTCATGTTTCAGGTCTTATCAACAGTTAATTGACTTTATCTTTTGGACCTTTTTCAGATTGCAGACCTAACTGTAAGGTAAGCAAGAAATTAAAAGTAAATAAATAAAGCATCCCACATCTTTTCCCTTTGTCCCTGCACCTTTTCCTCCCCAGCTGTTTTCTTTTTCCTTCCTCAGATACTGTTCAACGTTTTAATGATTAACCTTTTTTTTTTTTTTTTTTCCTCCCCCCCTCTCCCCTTCCTGTCATCTCCTTCCCCAGTTTGTATCAACGGGCAGAGATACAGCATGTGTGAAAGCTCTAAGAGATATTGAACCTGGAGAAGAAATCTCTTGTTACTATGGAGATGGGTTTTTTGGAGAAAATAATGAATACTGCGAATGTTACACCTGTGAAAGGTATACATTGAGTAAATACGTTTTAAATGGAATTGGGCATATTAATGATCTCTTTTGTGAAATCAAGAGTACTTAATTATGAATACTCAGATTTTTTGGAGACATTATAATTGCTTACTAGCTGTTTGTTGTAATGATTTTTTTTTTTCTTTCCTTTTTATGTTGTTACTGAATGGTCATGTTTCCTGAGAAGCACTGTGTCCTGTTTTTTCTTTTGATTCTCTGTTCTGAAGATAGCCCAAAACAAGAATAACAAAGAAGTGTAGATTCTTAAAAATAATTGTACTTAATAAATTAGAATTGGAAGGCAAAGCATTTGTAGCTTCTATGAGACCATTAGCAACTGACCCCCAACTTTTCCTCTTTTTTGCACTAGAAAAAGTAAATTTCATTAATGTTTTCTATGTTGACCTGAAGTTCTCTTCTGCTGGGAATGGGCAAAGTAGTTTTCGCTGCATGTTTTCAGAACTTGGGGATTTGTGTATTCGTAAAGATCTGCAGGTGTGGACAGTACTTGCCTGTATCTGTCCATCGCACAAGAGCAGCAAGGTTGTTATATTTGTTTTTCACCTCTGCTGTCCCAACGTAGTTTCTTCACAAAATCAGTTCAAAGAATTCCACAGTTGTTTTTTGCTGTGTTGAAACTTGTGCTTGCTGTGAGCATGGAGGCTCAACGCCATTTGTGAGAGCTTTGCCTGCTTCCGAGAGGAACTGCACAGAAACTGTAACAGTTCTGTTACTGTTGGACCTAACTGTAGAGAGAAAAAAACTATAAAGGACAAAATATTAATCATACTGAGAAATAGCTTAGTGTACCTACATATAAGTAGTTTAATAATCCTCCCTTCATTTTTACTAGCTAGTTTGCTCACTAACAGTTCTTGCCATTCAAGGGAAAACCTTCTGGTATGGACCTCCAAGCTCATACAGTGCTGGTATACCATTCCAAGTGAAGTCTGCAGTCCAGACATTATCTGGAGAGCTGCTGGTAAAAATGTGCTTCGGTCCTGGGAGCTGTTGAGTACTGAATAAATGGGCACCGTGACTGTTCTTTCCTTGTTACTTGGAGTGATGTGTTCCTTCTTGCACAGGCTCCTTTGATTGGTGTTTTTCACGTAATAGTGACATATACATATGTTCTCTTTCAGGACAAACCGATTTTACTTGTCCAAACATTTTCACTAACGTGTCTTCGTATTTTAGGTACATGAAAATGTTGCATTTTAAAGCTAACATTTTGGTAATTCTGACTTTAGGAGTCTTCTTTTCAGTCATAAAGCTGTGTTACAGCCATCAAATATGAGAGATTTGAATTTAGGGTTGCTGAGCAAGGAAAAATTACTCCTTACCAACACTGAGGCAACTGTCACTTTGTACGCCGTGAAAAAATTATCTTTGAGTGACCCAATTTTGACTGTGCTGTTAAAGGGTGTTAATTTGTAATGTTAAAATTCTATACTTTTAAGAATATGTGGGGCACACGTGGGAAGGTTGGCACCGTGCATTTTTTTTTTTCCAAGTCTCCAAAAGTCATCACGAAGAAAATTTGCATATCTTTACATGCGTACTCTTTTTAGGTGAGCCTGCTGTTCCTGGTGGCTGACAGAGCCAACGGGGCCCCAAAGATGACATGTCAGAATACAGTTGTGGTTGTCTGTAGCACCATTACTGTCTGATCTGAGGTGGCTGTTGCTTCTGCTAAGTTCAGTCTCGTATCCTAAGCTGCCTGTAATTTTCAAAATTCAAAATACTACTGAAAGAATGTTTCATATCAAACGACAAATACCAGTTAATTTGATAACAAGTATTGTGTCTGCGTAATAAATTAACCTTGTTCCTGAGCAGCTTGAGATCCTGTCTGATCTTTTTGATGTGCTTTTGGTTAAGTTTTGTAGATTTGCTTCCAGGTTTGCTCAGCCATTTCATTTATGTGGTAAATAACATACTGGAGTCTTTCGGTTACGAAGGAACACAGAACTGTGTGATAATTTTATTCCATTTTCTGTGCTCTTCAACTCTCACTGATGTAACAAGCATTGTAACCAAAGCTGACATTTTTTTTACTAGTCTGATGTGATTTAGGAAAAGTTTAAGTTTTTATCTAAGCTAATACAAGGAGCATTTTGAGCTACTGTAGTTCATTTTCACCTGTATAATTTGACTATGAAATTAGACTAAAATAGGGGTAAAGCAAAGGAAACCTACTTTTGCAGGTTTTCTTCTTGCAAGAAAAAAATGGAAGGCTTTTCTGCACATCTTACTAAAATAAGTGTATAGATATCTTAATAAAACAGCCCACAAAATGCTAATAAATTCAGAGGTTATTGGTCTTGTTTATCCAAATATGCCTGGGATTCAAACTACTGCATATAAAACAGAGCTCTAAGGTTGTATCAAAAGTTATTAATATATTGTGTCCTCTTTTTTCTTTGTAGGCGTGGAACTGGTGCTTTTAAATCAAGAGTGGGATTGCCAGCACCTACTCCTGTGATTAATAGTAAATATGGACTGAGAGAAACAGATAAACGATTAAACAGACTTAAAAAGTTGGGTGACAGCAGCAAAAATTCAGACAGCCAGTCTGTCAGCTCTAACACTGATGCAGATACCACTCAGGAAAAAGCTCATGCAAGTAAGTAAGGGAAGGACAAGATTAAAGGTTTCGTAAAAACGTTAAAAACTTTCACTGTGATGAAATTTGTTTGTTAGTGTTGAGATGCATCTCAGACACTGGTCTTTAGAACTGTAATTTATTCAGGAATCTGAAGGCAATTTAAATAGCAAATTCACGGTTTTCCTTAATTGTTTCAAGACCAGTAGGTGCTATGTTCTTGTTTCTTTTTATTTGTATCAAAAGAAAATATTGTCATATTTCTAACTACGTCAGTCAGTCCTGTCAGTAATGTCTGTATTTCAAAATACGGTGAATATCACATGCAGTAGTATGGTTCAGGAAAGAAAAATAGTTTGAGTTACCTACATTCTATAGGAAAACAGTTTTTAAATAAACACTCTTAGTCAAGACTATTAAACAAATAGGCATTTCCTTTAGAGAACCTTCAAATTGGGCAGGTATTCCCTCTTCACATCCAAGACTGATGTTTCAGGTACCTATTATGATGTGAAAGTGCACCGTTAGTAATCGCAGAAGAAAGTGGAAGGGAGTTTTGTTTGCGGTGCTCCTGAGGCACTTCTCTTCGTGGAGCAGAGTATAATTTATTTACTTTGCCCCCTTCTCCACACCCACCCCTTTCAGTATAGGCAAAATATAAGTAACTTTGACTTAACTAGCAAACAGGTTTGGAGCCACGTGAAATATTACGTTTCCATCTGGCTCCCATTTGCTGCTGTGATATTTAAAAAAAAAAAAAAAGAAAAAAACCCACTTTCCAAAACCCTCTTACGTCCTCAATTACAAAGCTTTAGAGTTGCAGCTCTGATTGGGCAGACAAAACTCCTTTGTTTACCACAGGGTGTGACAGACAACTGGATACCTGAAACTGAAACCATTACAGTAGTTAAGGTTTTAGGGGATTTTTCCTCTCGCTATGGGAAGAAATTCTGGGGTTAATGCTAGAGTATGCTAATCCTCAGATTTTGCTGGACTAATACTCAGTAAAAACTGAATAATGTGGGATGGATTTTTTTTAAAAATATGAAAAATATTTAAAATATTTTTTAAAAAATTTAAAACATAAGAAATTAGTAAAAATCAAACTTGGCATACAGGGGGTAGTGAGGGAAATGTTCCTGGGATTTGGGTGTACTTTTGACTTATATGACAATTCTCTTCATTTCTGAGCTGCAAGTCAAACGGTCTATCTAGCCTGTTTCACAGATTTTGGTGAAGTGTTTAAAATAAGTGACTACAGTATCTGGGAGTGGAAAACTCAGCATAAAGCAGTGTCATAACAAAACGACTTTTTTCTTTTGCAGCTAACAGAAAATCTTCAATTGGCGTGAAAAAGAACAGCAAAAATAGAACATTAACAAGACAGTCTATATCAAGAATTCCAGCATCATCAAATTCTACCTCATCTAAACTAACTCATATAAATAATTCCAGGGTACCAAAGAGACTGAAAAAGCCTGCAAAGCCTTTACTTTCAAAGATAAAGTTGAGAAATCAGTGCAAAAGGCCAGAGCAAAAGAATGCTTCTAGAAAGCTCGAAATGGGAAATTTAGTTCTCAAAGAGCCTAAAGTAGTTTTGTATAAAAATTTGCCCATTAAAAAGGATAAAGAATTGGAGGGACCAGTCAAAGTTGCAGTCTCTAGTGGATGCTTAACAAGGCATGCAGCAAGAGAACATAAACTGAATTCTGTGAAAGGTGCTCATGAGCATGGTGATATGCCACCCTGCACATACATAACAAGGAGGTCGGTGAGAACAAGGATGAATTTGAAGGAGACCTCTGACGTAAAGCTTGAACCAAATACGTTGGATAGCTATAAAAATAACTTGACCAGAACGCAGTTGGACATCTTAGAGCAGCAGCCTCACGTGATAAATGAAAACGATGTGGCTCATGGACCATCACATAAAGGGGAGATCAGGTGCCAGAAAAATGACGCGGGCATGTCAAAAAAGAAATCTCGACAAGGAAAGCTTGTGAAACCATCTGCAAAAACAGAAGAAACTGATACTATGCACAATACACCTGTGAAAGATGAAGTACCGGATTTGATTCGTTCTCATTCAGAACTTGGGGAGAGGAATAACGTGGTGGACACACCAGTTGGCTATAAAGACTGTATCCCTGGATCGGGTGGCTGCTCTGTTGTAACATCTGACAATTTTAAAGCAAAAGACAGCTTTAGAACTGCAAAAAATAAAAAGAAAAGACGAATCACAAGATACGATGCACAACTTATCCTTGAAAATAGCTCTGGGATCCCTAAACTGACTCTACGTAGACGCCACGATAGCAGTAGCAAGGCAAACGACCAAGAAAGCGATGGGATGAATTCTTCAAAAATAAGCATCAAATTAAGTAAAGACCATGAAAAAGATAATAATTTATATGTAGCAAAGCTAAATAATGGGTTTAACTCAGGATCAGGCAATAGTTCAACAAAATTAAAAATACAGCTAAAACGAGAGGAAGAAAACAGAGGGACGTACCCTGAGGACCTTCATGAAAATGGTATGTGTTGTAGTGAAACTCTCTCCCTTTTGGAGTCAAGAATGGAAGTAGATGATTATGGTCACTATGAAGAGGAAACAGCAGATGAATCTTCATCAGAAGAGGATGATGAAGAGGAAGATGACTACGATGATGAATTTGATGACTTTATTCCTCTTCCTCCAGCGAAGAGATTAAGGCTTATTGTTGGCAAGGATTCAATAGATATTGATATTTCTTCCAGGAGGAGAGAAGATCAGTCTTTAAGGCTCAATGCATAAGCTTATAGGTCTTAAACTGACCTGGATGTCATTTTTAAAAAAAAAAAAAAAAAACAAAAAAAACACAACAACAAAAACAAAACAAAACAAAAAAAATAAAAAAAATAAAAACAAACAAAACAAAACACAACAGCAACAATTCCATTTGATTATTCCCCAACTGAAGAACTTTCTGAAAAACTTAATGGCAGCACTTCTTTATTGTTTATTCACCTATCAACATAATATTGTAGAAAGTGTACAGCATACTGACTCTTCTTAAGTCTGATTTGTGCAGATTTTTATTGTACTTTTTAATAGCCTTCTTATGTGCAATTCTGAGTTAGAGGTAATGCTCTGTTGTAAAATAAAGGCTCAAGCAAAGTTATGAAATTGCATCAAATCTTTCCATGCAGGACAATGAGAATACAGTGTGGCTACATAATTATTTTTGAGCAGTAAGAGCATTAGTTTGCTCTTACTATATTTGACTAAACAATTTAAAAAAAAAATCATAGTAGCAGCATATTAAGGTTTTTCTAGTATTTGTTAATATCACCAGCAATGATCTACAGCTTTTCAATTTATTTGCTAGATGTTTTTTTTCCCCCCTTGGAGTTTGTCAGTTTTAACACTGTATGCTGTCCCAGACGTACTGTTTGTGGCCTTTGTTATAGTAGCAAACCGTTGGTTGGAAGTCAAATTGATTTCTTTAAAAAAAAGAGGAAAAAAAAAAATAAAGAAAAGGTGTTGACAATTTGCTGACTTTTTAGTACATTATATGTACAAGGGTAGCAGTATGCAGAATAAAAGTTTGGATATGGTGTATTTATTGCTTGTTATGTAAATTAAACACCTTGTATTTAACACTTTTCAATACTTTTAGATAAAATTGTTCTTTGCAAGAATGATTGGTGCTTATTTTTTCAAGAATTTGCTGTGAAAAATGTGATTACAACGGGCAACATTTATCCAATGAACTGCAGCTATCCTAAATTGGTTCTTCATATTTTTCTGTTGCACTTGTAAAATGCTACAAGGAGTTTAAAGAAAATCTATTCACTTTAACTTATGATAGTTTTATGAAATTTAAAAACAACTAAGTCACAGCTTTTGTTCTGTGGTAACCTATAAATTGTTTGTCTTTTAAGAACCAGTTGTAAAAGACTGAAAAAATATGTATATGTTGTAAATATTTGTGTGTTGTGAGAAATTTTGTCATAAGAAATTGAGATAACTTGCCAGGAGGGTTTTTAAGTTTAGAAATACATCCATGCCAATAAAATAGGAAATTGTAAACCTAGTTTTAAACTCTGCATCAGTTGGAGTTCTTTGCTCATACGTAGTTCACTTAATACTTCGGAGTCTGCTTTATAACAACGAAGAGCATCAGGGCGATCTTTGGCTCTTTTGTTTTTAATAAAAGAATGTTAGGAAACCTGTGGGCACGGTGGAGTTGCTTGTATGTGTCAGTTGGCTCGTTTATAAGCCATTTCCTTGAAGCGGGTGTGAGACGTCACGGCTGACAGAGCTGAACGGCGCTTCGGTCCGCGGAATTTGCGCCCAGCCATGGAGTAAGGCTTAGCGGTTTTGTTTCTAGGGGCGTAGGAACAGAAGTCTCGTTCTGAGACGTGCTGTTGGGTTAAGTGGGAGCCGTTGCTGGCTGCGCTGTTTTCAGGTCAGGTCCAGCCCCCTCCGCTCAGAAGAGCAAGAGCTTGGCTGAGGTGGCCAGGGGGTCCCCCAGCTGTGAAAGCGTTAGTGGGTGAGTTTGCGCCCGAGCTGATCAGAACAGTTTGGCCCATTTCTCAGACCCTCGCGGAAAGGGAGGATTTTTTTTCAAAGTAAATCCTTCCAAATGCATTTCAGTAACTTGTTAGATTGCAAACCGGACGGTGGAATCTCGCTTCCCTCCTGTATTCTTAGCAGACAGTTACGTGTAGAATTAAACAATGCTTGTACCTTTGTTTTCACCACGTCCAGCCCGTGGGAAAGGCCAGCTGTGCCTCCTGTACAAAATCTGTATTTTTTTTTAAAAAGGGGTAGGCCTGTACGTGAGGCAGTTTCTCCTGGCGGACCTGGGCTTTTGGTTGGTGGAAGACTGAACACAAAAGGTTTGGTAAGTGTGCTCACGTTTTTGAGCGCCGAGGCAGCTCTGGTGGATGGTCTTGTGGGATTTTTAATTGCACTGTATCACATAAAAATGGGCTATTAAAGGTTGGCTTGCGGGGAAGATAGCCGTGTTACTAAGGGCTTGTTCTGTAGTAGGAAGTTCCCAGCAAACAGTCAATGCCAGACAACAGCAATCCAGCTCTTCCCTCAAGAACTCACTGGCGTCCTCAGTGGGTGATGTGCCCTGCGGGTTCGCGGCTGTGTCAGCGACGAGCTGAGCGGAGCATTTGGCCGCCGCGGGGAGCGGTACCCCCGCTGCTCAGGGACACCCCTTCCCCTGCTTTGCTCCAGAACTGCCCGCAGCTCCTCTGCCTGCCTGCTGCCCCTGCGTGCTCGCTGCTGCTGCGTGCTGCTCCGGCAGCCCGGCTGGCTTCTGGGGAGGGCTGGTGGGTTTGGAGCAGCGTCGCTCAGCTGGGCATCTGGAGGGGGGCGGGGGGGGTTGGTGCAGCAAGTAAACATTGCCAGCTGCGCTGAGTATGTACCGAGCAGCGTGCTCAAGAGCAGGTTTGGGGCTTGCTCAACCAGCAGCAGGCAATGAAAGCAGCAACACGTAGTAAAGTTGCAAGAGAATTCTGCTTATAGTGGTAGAAGCAGTTTTCCTGGAGTAGATGTTCCTACTAACTCCTCGTTCAGCCAACCCTTCAATTCGAGCTGCTTTGCTGCTTCTCTGGCGCAGAAATAAGGGCACAGCCGCTCTCTGGGCATCAGGAACTCTGGATTGCTCTTGTTCATTGTGCCAGATTCTCCAAGGCAAGAAGGCTGTTCAAAAGCTTTTTAGTCATTTCCAAGGTCGACCGGCCCATAGCTGCGTCCTGCCACTCAGATTTTTGGTGTTAGAGATGCCTTGAAAATTAACGAAATGCGTTTCCTCGAGTCGGTCAGGGAGGCAGGGGTTGCACAACCACGGTGTCTTCTGTCCTTCCTCTGCTGCAGAAAATGGGGGGGGGGGGTTCCTCACTGGTGTGGGAGTTGGCAGCTGGTGGCGTTTCCCCAACCTTACTAGTAGTAGGGGAAGATGAAGGTTTGTGTCACGTCTGGGAGAACCTGCCAACCTGGGGACGTTTCTTGCTGTCCAGATCCCAAAGCGCTGTGAGGTTAATAGTGATTTAACTGTCACAGACCCCGTCCAGCCTTCATGACGCTCGTTTCCCAAGTTCTTGGTAGGAAATGGGGTCGGTTTGGGGTGACCACAGGTCACTTTTTAGTAGGTTGAGGAAGTGAAAGGAAGCGTGTTACAGATGGGCTTTGTCAGCTGGTTTTGTGTGGCTTCTAACAGGTGGTGAGGCTGAAAAGGAAACGTTACAACCACCATGAAACTGGCAGCCTGGCCCGGGCAGCGCGTGCTGAGCTGCCGTGCAGTTGGGGACAGGTTTAGCACGATGAGTGTTTGCACGTTTGGGTAGCAGCTGGCACTTTTGATGTAGTGAGTTAACAGAGATGGGGCAAAGGTGTCGATTCTTCGTAAGACAAAAAAAAAAAAAAAAAAATGACCACTTCGCAAAACTGTTAGAGAGCTGTGAGCGTTCTTTGGAAAAAAAATAAGGCCACAGCGAGCGTATGGGAGAGGGAGCACTGCTAAGCACTCTGCTCGAGTAGAAGCTTGCATAGACTTGCTGTACAGTAAAATCACTGCAAAATACTGAGCAGGCAGTTCAGTCCTGTTAGATACCATTCCTGTGGATCCCAGAGAGACAGAAAAGAGGGTTCCTCAGTGTGTTTCTGCCTGCCTTGTGCAGGGCAGTCTAACCTTTCCTATTTCTTTATGGAATGGTAGAGAAAAGTGTTTTACATTTACTTGACGAGGAGTGATTTGATTGGAAATAAATAACCAAATAATCAACTCTTTCTTACTTCGCGTGTACGGGGAGGCTTCCCTCGACATTGGGGGATTTCTGGAAAATCAGTTGTGCCAAGAAGCAGCCGTGTTTCTGCAAACAGGAGAAGCTTGTGATTGCGGGCTGTTACTGTAACATCGTCTAAAACCAGTCCTGCTCTGGGCTAGTCCAGCCTGCTCCTTCTGCCTCATCTGTAACTCCAGCTCTAACACACCAGCAGCGGCTTGTGGACTGGAAAGAATTGTATCTGATAAAATTGCTGTGGATTCTCTGCCAGATCAACACGAATCTCCTCTTACTGTCTCTTTTCCTTCCTTTTTTTCAAATGCTTTTTCTTCGTTTTCCCTCTGGTGTATTTGTTGGGCATCAGGTGTTGTCTCTGTCTGTGCTTTGAACGCTCGGGTTTTGGGTTCTGTGAAGCTCCTGTCACTCAGAGCGTTACTCTCTTGCTCCCAGTGCATTGGCTGTGTTCCGTTACACTGCCAGCCACTACGTGTTCAACACACCCAACGTACTCCCCAAAGTAAGTCTTCATGTCTGCATTTGGCTGGGTTTTGTGTTTTTTCTTTTTTTTTCTTTTTTTCTTTTTCTAGTTTCTTTTTGTCCGTTCTGCCTAGCACTGCCGGTCCATGCTCTTCAAAGTAAGCTCAGAAACAGAATTCCTTTGCTCACCGTATTTGTCTGGTTGGTTGCCCTTTTTAGAATGAAAGGGTGAAGGTTTGGGAGCTGTGCAGGGTAAGACTTCCTGAAAATTCAAAGTGAAGTCACTTAAGTTTGCATTGCACCGGCTAGGATTGTGTTTTCCTAAATCCACTTCCCCAGTGAGGATTCTCTTCTTTGGGCTGGCTCGTAAGTGAACCCGTGGCCTTGCGTAAGCTCTGCCCCTTCCCAAACTCTCGATTTCACAAGTCCCCAAGGTCGGGGTAGGTTGAATGTCTTCAGCATCGCTTCATGGCAGCAACACTAGCTATGTATTTGCTCTTTTTTTGCCTGTTGTAGCTGCTGCTTTTTGCCCACCGAGGGCTGTGCTCATCACGCTTGAGTTCACATACCTTATTTAGACTAATCCCATTAAATATTTTTATTATTGCAAGGTATATATGCATGGTTGTTCCAGTGTTACTCCCCCTCCCAGCAGGCAAAGGAAATCTGTGACTTCTTCCCAGGCAGCTACATTTTGATTTAACGGTAATTTTACTCGGATTCATCCTTGCGTGAAATTGGATCAGAACAGTTCCTGCCACAGAGACAGTCCCTCGGGTGGTGGTGTTGGAGGGACCCCTTGGTTTAAGTACAGGTATGTCAGTGCCGAAACAGGTACGGAGCCAGTTAAACGGTGTTGCTCGAGAGTTATTTTAGCTCAACAAGCAACAGTTCCTGCTTTTGGCAGTGAGTTTCAGTCAAGTGTGGAGATAACCAATGGGTCCAACAAACCATAGATTTTTCCACTGATGCTTCATGACATTCATCAGAAGTCGATTCTGTGATTCGATTTATAGTCTTTTCTGCTCCAATTACTATGTCTGGCTGCAGCACTCCACAACAGAGTCGCTTGTAAGCTGGTAGAGAATGACGCTCGTAGGAATGTGTTGGACGGGACGTGATTTTATTAACGTTTGCATAAACCGTGTGTATACAGCAGGAGGGCAGGACTGCTGGGTGATTCACGGTCAGGGTTACCAACATCTCCTGGGCAGAAGGGAAGGCTTTCCAGACCCAGGGCCGGAGCCCAGCGCCGGGCCCGCCCGCGTGGTTTGGGTTAGAGCTGCCCGTGGGAGCCACGGCCCCGGCAGCAGCCGCGGGAATCGCCTGCCCGCAGCGCCCGGCTGCCGGAGCCTCCGCCAACGCCGCCCGCCTCCCCTCCACCCTCCGAAGGGAACCGAGGGAGCAGGGAGCTCCCCGAGCCAGCCCCGGGCCCGGCCCCAGCGCACACTCACACGCCTGGAGAGGAAAACGCTGGGCTGACGCCCTCGGCGTTTACCACTGAAACAGGGTTTACAGATCCTTTCAAGCACCAGGTTTAGGCTTTTAAGTGACTTGAACGCTTCTAAAAGTTTTCCTCCTGGCGTGGCGCAGAACAGCCGCGTAGGATCCAGCTAATTCAGATCTAGAGTGAAATCCAGAAGCTTACATCCTATTTAAATATGGCACAGAACAGAGCTTCTGAGGTCACGGTAATCGCTCCTGGAAATTCAGTGGGTTTTCTTTATTTTTCAGGGTTGTGTACCTGTTGATAGAGCACGCGAGTTTTTAAAAAATACTGAGTTGTCAAAAATCTGTAGTTGTCCCAAGCATTTTCGGTGTGCTGTCTTTCTTTCCAAACCACTTCAAAATTTAAAAATACTTTGGTATTCTTTGGTGTGGTGTGGAGAAGGGATATGTTTTGAGGCAGAATAGGTTTTTATCTTTTCCTGTCCTCCTTCAGCTGCCTTGTTAAC